GAGTTAGAGAGATGAAGGTTACTAAATATGCAATTGCACCTTTATCACAGTATCTCCTTGATCCTCAAACCAGATCGCAACCTGGCAGATTGCTTGCAGCTTTAGCTCTGGGTGACCTCTCACAACATGAAGGGCTTGCTAGAGCAAGTGATTCTGTTTCTGCTTGTCGTGCTCTTATAAGTTTGTTGGAAGACCAACCAACAGAGGAAATGAAAATGGTCGCAATTTGTGCATTGCAGAATTTTGTCATGAACAGTAGGACAAATAGACGTGCTGTTGCAGAAGCAGGTGGCATACTTGTTGTTCAGGAGCAGCTATTATCCGCTAACTCAGATGTTGCCATCCAGGCAGCTTTGTTGATTAGGTTTCTATTCTCAAATCACACACTTCAGGAATACGTATCAAATGAGCTCATAAGATCTCTCACAGGTAACTTCCAATTTAACCATCCATAATTGTATTTGTATACGCTTGTCAGAATCAATCAATATCTCTTATTTAACATTTAGGTGGAGTTCCAACTAATTGTATTTACTTGTTCAATAGCAATTACTTAGAGAACTGAAATAATACGAAAGAAAAGAGAAGAAAGAAAAAAAAAACTACTATAGCCCTGTTTGGCAACAAGAGATTAGTTGTGGTTAGTTGTTAGCTGATTTTATGAGCTGGTTTGACTAGTTACTTGTATTAGTAAATTATTGTTAGCTGATAGCTACTTTATTGCATAAAATGACCAAGGATATACGGACATTTTATTTTTAGTTTGAGCAACCTTGATAAAGGGTAGTAAATTTGATCAACATTAGGATAAAAATGCCATTTCCTCTCAACTACCAAAACCTCTCTCACCAAAAAGCTTCTATTTTTAGGTCTTTCAGAATTAGCTTTTTGGACGCAAAACTCTTATCAATCCTCTCGACCAAACACTCACATTAGAGGTAGCCTCTGTTTTGCCCTAAACCTCTCTTTTTTCCTTAAACCTCTTCTAACTACAATTTGTCTTAAGAGTATTAAAAATTTCCTACAACTTGTCTGAAGAATATTATTGAAAGACATCATTGGTACAAAAATGGGAAATCTGTTGCAAACCTAAGAACTATTTTGCTTCAGTTAAATACAGGATGTAGTGCCTGATCCTTAAATATTGTAATTTTACCTTCCTGGCTCCAACCAAACACTAAATTGTCATGCAATTAAGCTCGTTAGTTATTTGCCCCTCTTCTTCCCTAAATTCGCAAACTTTTATCATAAGAAATACTTCAATTTTTCTGAAATCCTTTATTTGAGATCACTGTAATTTGATTTCTCTAAAATTCTAAAGTTCATGATGTGTGGATAATGGTTCTGCTTTTTATGAAGAATTTAATTCTCTTTTTACTATTGGTGTCTTGCAGCTGCATTGGAGAGAGAATTGTGGTCTTCAGCAACCATCAATGAAGAGGTTTTAAAAACGATAAATAAAATTTTCACCAACTTCCCTAAGCTTCACATATCTGAAGCTGCAACTTTGTGTATTCCCCACTTGGTAGCAGCATTAAAATCAGGAAATGAGGCTGCTCAAGAATCTGTGTTGGACACCCTATGCTTGCTAAAACATTCATGGTCAACCATGTCCATAGATACTGCTAAATCACAAGCTATTGTTGCAGCTGAAGCAATCCCGATCCTACAGATGTTGATGAAAACGTGCCCTCCAAGTTTCCACGAGAGAGCAGACAGCTTGTTGCATTGCTTACCAGGGTGTTTGACTGTCACAATAAACCGTGGTCACAACCTAAAGCAGGCTATGGGAACCACAAATGCTTTTTGTCAATTGATAATAGGCAACGGCCCTTCTCGGCAAACCAAGGTAAACATTTATAACTGTATGAGCCTTAATTAAAGAAGAGGTGACCTTTGAAAAAAAAATTCTGGTTTTGACCACCTCTTATATTTATCAAGTTTTTGTTATGATAGATCTTTGATGTTTTACTGCCATTTTGAAATATGGGAATTTCAGTATTTTTCGAACACCATGGTGATTTTCTTACTATGTGTATGCGGATGTATTAAAATACTGCCTCATTTTTCACTACTAGCAATATCGAGATATCTAAATATTATTGGAGATGGAGAGTGGGAGAGAATGTCATTTTTGCCAGTGTGATTCAGAGAAAAAGAGTGTATTTAAAGCTACCAAAGGTGGATTGATCCGTATTTTCCCTACAAAAGTTGAGAATTATGTGCTAAATTTACGTATTAAAAGTTTCCAACATAGGTAATGTTGCAAGTACTGTGAAATGTGAGAAGTGATTTGTTGCATGTAGAAATGAAATTTATACATTCTTTGTCTCTCGTAAAAAACAAAAATAAATAAATAAAAAGGCATTATAACCCTAAGTAGATTCCAGTGATTGTTTGTTTATCATAAATTTGGCCCCCAGAAGCACAAACTCATTCGAAAATTTTCTCTACTGAGCTTCAAAGAAAATAGGAAATCATTTCCCTTATTTTCTTAGCCCTGTGTCTTTGCAAGTTGTAGCTCTTTCCGTTAAGTATAATCTGTTCCTATCTAAAAAGGCCATTGCATATACATAACACATACCTGCATTCTCTACATGTTGCATAAATTTCATGGAACTGTTTTCTACCGGGTGAGTTTCCTTTAGACAGATAAGCTCATTGTTATGAGATTGTAACTTGCTCCTTGTGCTGGTTTTCAGGTCATGAATCATAGCATATCTCCCGAGTGGAAAGAAGCTTTTACATGGGCATTTGATGTGCCACCGAAAGGACAAAAACTTCACATCATATGTAAAAGCAAGAACACGTTTGGAAAGGTGACAAGCGTTAACACTGACTGCTTTTATTACTAAACCCAAAAAAGTTATATTACCTAGATCTCTTCTTTGACCCAACAATGTTAGACTGCTAGTGTTCAGTCAATGACTGCAACACTAGTTCTGACAAGCGAGGGGCTTCATTTATACAGTAGATCATTCGGATAAAAATTATTTTTGAACTTGTATCTCTTGTTGTTAATTGCGGCCTAGAAGCCATAAATCTGCTCTAATTGTTACTTTCTGATGATATGGTCCTCTTTGCAGGCAACTCTAGGTAGAGTCACTATTCAAATAGATAAGGTAGTGACAGAAGGAGTTTACAGCGGCTTGTTCAACCTTAACCATGATAGCAATAAAGATGGATCCAGAAAACTCGAAATTGAGATTATGTGGTCCAACAGATTGTCCAATGATAGTCTGTAAACAAAAAATCATTAGAGAAGGAAGTTCTATGAAGCAAGTGAAGTTGCAGCAATGCTGCCGGTGAAGTTTTGGTGGTGTGCTGTCCCTGTAAATCCAGAATGTTCCTTGCATTGTATGTACTCTCCTCTAGTCTCCTTTACAGCATACAGTTTTGTAGTGAAGATTTTGATGCCAATATAGAATGTATGATCTTCATCAAATGTTGAGGTGAGAATGATCCATACTTCCTGCAGTATGAGGAACTTTTACGATGTTTCAAGTTGGTTGTACAGCTGAATTATAGATGCTAGGAAATCCATTTCTGGATAAGTTGTCCAGAAATTATATTCTTGAAATCAGAAAGGAGAAAAAAAAAATGTATCACTAGCCTTATAAAGTACTGGCAAATTGGCAATCTGATCTTGCAAAGTTAGAGGTGAGAATTGTCTTGTGTTTGTATCTTACCCCTTGGCAACTTGTTTATGTATAGAAATAGAACGACCATCAATTGGTTGTATTAATTATATGAAGTAAATAGTATCAGAAAGCTGGTCACTGTTGCAATGTATGGTTCACTGTACACTTGGCCAATGAAGGCCATACTTGAATTGTTCAAATGAAAGTACCTGTCCTAATTCCTGTCCATCTTTGCTGTGGAGAAAGTTCACTGATATTTATCGCTCATGTTTATTTCAGCAGAGCTATGGCAAGGCACTTGTCGTCTCGTGGCACCATCAGTGTAAATTCTGATGGCTTCACTTGCCAAGTTGCCATGTGTTAGTGAATTTGGGCATATTATTGCTGATATGGGTTTCTTTTAAGGTGTGGTCCTTGGACTCTCCCTGAGTAGTTTGTACAATAGGTACAATCCCAATCCCCTAAGGTTCAATTGAGCAACAACATTGTTCATTTCTGGGATTTGCACGTTGGAAATGGAAGAAACCTTAAAAAACCTAACATTACTCATTTTAATGCACTGATGACTTTCATTATAAAAAAAAAATTAAAATAAATAAATAAACAGCCATATTTTTGTTTCCTGTGTTCATATTTTACTATTGAGGGAGGTATGGATTAGGAATTTAGGATAGCATAATATCTACCTACCTTGCTCATCTGTAAAACAAACAAGAAATGACGTAAAAGACTAAAGGGGTTTCATGCCAAAATCTCATTTCAAGCTCCCTTTTTGTCCAGAGAAATACTTCGCACAGTACAAAAGATTAAGCGTTTGAGAAGTTGCCTGCACTGATCATAGAGATTTGCAAAAACTTTGTTGTTACATTGCTTGCCTAATATTTCTCCAACTTACAAACTTGAAGCCACAATAATTTACTCAGGTGGACAACAAAATGGACAAAATACATTCCGACCCTTGAAGAGGTACCTTTACATGTCCCTCTCAGCTCTCCTTTACATATTTGTTTTGGAGGGTGGAAGGTTAAGGTTCAAATTACATGTTACACATGAAATCTTGAACCAAATCTGGAGCGAAAATGAAACAACTACTAAGCAGGTCAGATAGCTTTGTGAGTAAGTGCAAATGTACAACGCACATGCTTAGGCAGATAAAGGCAAACATCTCAATTACTTCGTAGGGAAAATCTACTTTGCAGCCGCGACCAATGCAGAACGAGCTTTCGTGAATGAGGCAATGAGAGATCCAAGCTGCAATTTATCGCTACATCCAAAACTTAGTCTATACCTGCAAGCAAAATGAAGTGTTATCAACAAGGTTTCCACCAGATGGCTGTTATGCTCAAAAGATTAATGCAGTACCAAAAATGGAAAAACCTTACAATTGGCAAGACTGCAAGAGGGTCACAGAAATTAAGTGGGAGGGAAAAAATGCTTCCCTCTAGTGAACAAATACTGAAAAACTTTATTAAGGTGCGAATGCAAAATCCATGAACTTGAACAGACCAACAATCAAACTACACCTGCACAACACCTATGTAAGAGAAACTCTTATTTTCCCAAAGAACCACCCAAGTTCAGTTAAGTATGTATTGGGAGGGGGGTTCTTGAAAGACTGCCAACTCTCTTAAAAATTATAATCCTCAAATAATAAGCAATATAAGTCTCTAGTGACCACCTTTCTAGTATAAAACATTTTCTCCGCCTTTTTATGATACTTCAATCTTATACTCTTATCGCTTAACTCTAATCTTCATTTTGTTAATATTGTCCCCTATATGCCTCCACTAGTCAAATGTCCTCAATTTTAATTTTGTTTTTGGGTTTTGGATCATATTTGATAATCTCTAATCTTTGCTCAATCCTCTTCAAAAACTCTTCTCTTCTACAGTTCTACTTGGCCCTAGTTGCTGAATTCATGAATTCTAGAAGTGCAGGTGTTCCTTATGTGAGGCATCTCCCCCAATATCCAGTCATCACACAGTTCTTTTGTCAGAGTCAAACTAGGTTTAAAGATCTGAGTTCTTCGCTTGCGGGATTATTGACAATTTGCTAGCTTCAACTTTTTCATGGTTTTCCATCTTCTTGTCGACTTTCATTACAGTCATCTTTGTTCTGGGTCACTAGTCAATAGTCATTGCTTACATGGGTGGTTAGCCTTCTGTCCCTATCATGACCACAAGTAAAAAAATAAATAAAAAATAAAAAAAAAACCTCTGGTAGGCTTGGGTCTGGGGCTAGGATTCCATTGCCAAGGCAGGAGTAGAGGTCGGTACACAGTGATTTTTAGTGTCCTATAGAAAAAGGCATGCGGGACTTAAGAAAATTCATAAACCCCTCCAAGCACCTAATTAGTCAGCAAACTTGGTCACTAAATTCCAATGCACTTAATAATCCTTTAGGATTGTATTAAGGGCTACAAATCTACAATCACGTAGATTCCATGCTACAATACTTCAGACAATCTTCAATAACCAATCATTCATGTGGGCATTACAATCAACCATTTTAAGAAAACACTAAAAACAAATTAAGTGTCAACTTAAATATACCATGATGCTCATAAGATGTAACAATTATTGAAAAGAAAAAGAAAAACAAAAAAGAAAAAAAAAAAACAAAAAGAAAAGAAAAGAGATGCAACAGCACATACTCTATATCAGCCATATCATTAATCAGTTGAACTCGAACATCTGCCGGCATTTTGATTCTAAAAACAAACCTGGTAACACCACCAATTCAACAAGTTAACTTAGAGCAGATTAGAAGATGGGTGTATAGATTTTAGATAGAACACTTACATTGTTACTTCTCTTATGATGTCCACCAAAGCTAATCCTTTTCGGGTCTTAATTTCAGATATTCCTAAGAATAGTTTAAGGATAACAAACAAACAGAAATGCAGATAAAAAGATAATCAGCTTGGCTTAATAAACACAATAACACACAATTAACTAGGATACGGCTGAAGCTAGTAGCAAAAGTCTCATTGAGAAGCCAATGTGATATTTGTTCAATATCTTTCGGCAGAGGATTTCCAGTGCACAGGTAAACTGCTTCTTCTGTTATTTGCGGTGATGCCATGTGTGTTGACTGCAAGTATTGACAACAAAGAATAGCTTTAAAAAAATGAAAAAATTACAGGTCAACATAGTTGTAGTTTCACCCACAGAACTTTATCTTGTGCCCATTGATGGCAAAAGGAGTACTACTAATCAGCAATTAATGAATAGAAAATTTTCACAAAGGTCACATTAAAAAAAAAATGAGGAATGACGTTGGATAATGTCCCAATTTGAGGCCCAGAAACAAAATTATCACAAGCTGCCTAATAACTATACATTAGAGCCTTGGAGGTAATATCTGTAATCACTGCCAAAAAATCAAAGGAAATTCAAGAGCAGTGGATATTCAGTAACAAACTACTGTTAGACCACTCAAAGAAAATTCTATTTAGTCTAATATAGTCTAATCATCAGACCCGATGCGATTTTGGACTGTCTTTCTAGGCATGATAAAGAAAGTTATTATTTAGGCCACTCATCCTGCAATTTTAAAATTAATTAAAAAGAGGGATACCTGCAAAATGTTCAAAGCCTTTCGCATATCCCCAGTACTCAATCGCACTAGTGCAGCTAAGCCCGACTCCGTTACATCAAGCCTATTTAAGAAAAAAAATATTAAGTGAGATTGTAAGCTTTCTCAATGTAAATATGAAACATCCAAACAATAAAATCATAATCAAAAGAACCATCAAGCAAAAAAATAGTCATAAACCACAACGCGGTCATGTAAAGTTGTAAAGAATATCTTAAAATCAAAAGAATTGCAATGGCATCTCTTTTACCTATGGCATGACCTACTTAATTACATACTTAGCATAACAGCAGAAGTTCACCCAAGTACCACAGATTCATAAAATAGTGCAAACAGTTTTATTATATTTTTACAGAAGGCTTGGCATTTGTACGCTATAAGAATGCTTACTCACTTCAGGTTACTATGAGAGAATCTACGAGAAAAGAACTAACGTATGCCTATAAATGTTACGGACACTTGTGATCAGAAAAGGAAAACAACATTGCAGCATAATGACAATAAAATAGACCAAGGGCCAGATTAGACTTAAACTTTAAAGAGTACTGTCACCATATTTTCCTTTCCCAAACAAGAACAGTCTGAACAATCCAATAGCATAAGATATATAACGAGCTGTAAAGACTCATAACAGTCAGAAACAAGAAATGTAGATCGTTAAGGCTTAGAGAAAGCTTTGACAATCCTTTAACATGTTCAGCTTTCTTCTATTGTTATTGTTCAATGGGATAGGTGGCCTAGTATTATAACTCACCCTTCAGCCTCAATGACATGTTTAAGCCGCTCACTGACATGGATAGAATCAAGAGGAGCAAACCGGAAGCGTGTGCATCTTGACTGGAGTGCAGAAATGACCTTGTTTACATTGTTACAGATTAGCGCAAATCTCGTGCTTTTAGTGTATTTCTCGATCACTAGATCAAAAAAAGGCACCAAATTAACATGGTTGCACAGGGAAGGGGCAAAAAAAAAAAGAGGACGACAAAGAAGTGACTTTAACATACCTCGACGTAAAGCAAATTGTGCATCCTTTGTCATTGCATCTGCTTCATCCAGTAAAACTAATTTCACATGTGCCTTTGAACTGCCAATATCAGAGCAATAGCAAATTAGCAAAGATCATCAGTGAAAACATTTAGTGCGCTGCCAACTCGACACTGAGGTCCATGACCAAATTTACCAAAGCATACACCAAACAACACAATTAAAATATAAATTAATTTCTTTATTTTTTTTTTTTTTAAAAAAAATGTAATCAACTAGAACCATGGCAAATGCATTTACAATCCTGAAAATAAAACAGATGGAAGATGCTTGGATCCATTTTAAATCATACACACCAAATATAGCACATGTAAAACATCTCGTGTTCACAATTACAGATGAGGGAAACAATTATTATATATTTGAGTAATATAATAAAACGGAAACCGCTGAAGCAGGTATTCCCTCTAAAAATTCCCTTCTTAGCTCATTTAGACTAAATAATGAGTTATGATTGCAAAAGATATTATAGAGGGTTCTCAGCATTCATAAACTAAAATGTAATTCTCATTGCAGTCATAATTTTAATGCCTTGAAAATTAGCTGATTGTGACTCGAGTATTACCAAGTAATTATCCACAAATCATTTCACTAAATGCCTGAAATGCCTATAATATAAATGAGCAGTACATGTTGTGTCAATGCCATTACTTAATCAAAGAGAGCCTGCAAAATATATAAATGTGCATGACCACATTGCCTATGGTATCTCTATGACTCTATCTATCTACCTATCACCAATCATGGCATAACTCGTAAACTGAAATTACAAAGACGGGGGACACTTAAGACCCTTAGAAAACAGCACTTGAGGACTTACAGTCGGTTACATACTTACATCCATCAATTAGGCATAAATCATACATATAAAAATAAAAAATAAAAAAAATAAAAAAATAAAGAGAGAGAGGGATCTACATTGCCAAACTCTATACTATAACTACAAATAACACAAAAAGGTATAGTAAAACATCCTTTTAGGACACCTCATCACTTGGAATGCTATGCTACACGTACTTGGATGCTCATGTCTAGCACGGATTCATCTCTAGGTGTCCAAATTGGCTATTTTGTGAATTGAAAAGTTTGTGTACTGTACACCATGGACATAAAATGACATCATCCTAAATTAGACAAAAAACTTAACAAAGAAAAAACAGGATAGCTGAAAGCAGCCAAGCCCACCCGATTAACACTATATCTACAATTGTAGAACACTCCGCCTTACTCTTACTAATAGTCTAACACTAATATGTTTAAAGTTTAAACCCCAAACAATGTGGTTTCTTGCCATGTTACTATCATGTAAGAGCATCTTTAGTGGTAAGCTACAAGGCTTGTAGCTTATCTTGAAACATCAAATTTTGGGCTAGTATATTATTAAGCTACTAGGTGCTCCAATGGTGAGAAATAAAATGTTGTAGCTTGTAAAAATAAATAAATTAATTAAATAGTTTTAATTATACACGTCATAATATAAGTAGGTGAAGTGTTTTTTGAAAAATCAAGCAACGTAGATTGTTTGAGCAACATTGCTCGATGTAGCTACATCAATATTGTCACTCCAATAGTAAGCTACATGCTTACGATATAATTTAATTTGCAAGCAAGTCCTTTTTGTAAACCATTGGAGATGCTCTAATCACCCCTTCCCCCTTCTTACTCAAAAAACAATGTCAAAGAGGTTTCTCAGCATCATATCACTCAGAATTTACTTTCTAAATTTCACCTCACACAACCAAAGCCATTGATAATCAATCAACACAACATATACAAAGAAAAACAAAAATAAATTCCATCAAAAATAGATGATTTTATGAAAAATAACAAAATTTACCCAAAGGAGAAACTTTGGGTGCTGGCAAAATCCTGAATTTGCTGACGAACAACATCGATACCGCGCTCATCGGAAGCATTAAGCTCAAGAATCATGTTATGGAACTGATTCCCATACAACTTCCTGGCAACCGCCAAAATTGTCGACGTTTTCCCTGTTCCTGGAGGTCCATAAAGCAGTAAATGCGGCAATTTATTCTCACTCGTCAACCTGTCAACTGCACCCAAAACACACTCAATCAGACCAAATAGGGGGAAAACAAACCCTAATTTGCGAAAAAATCAAACACAATCAAACGAAAATTGGGAGGATTACTTGTATCAATAATGTCACGATGTGCAGCAACGTCGGCGAGAGACTGAGGCCGGTACTTTTCGACCCAAAGGCCGGATTTTCCGTCGCCGGGAACGACGACGTTTTTGCCTTTGTTAGGCTTGGTGATAGGTCTGGGAATGTTGTCGTTGTCGGGTTCGTCGACGTCCATTAGAGAGATTGTTTCCGCCATTGATGAATGTTTAAGGTTTAGGGTTTTAGGTGAAGAAAATTTGGGGAGTTTTTTTAGGGGAAGATAGTAGTGAAGTTGAAGAGAGGGAGTGGTAACTTTGAGGGTTTGGGCTGGTCGTTCCCCAAATTGGCGCCAAAATAGTTTATTATTATTATTATTATTATTATTATTATTATTATTATATCCCTCCGATCATAAAATAAGTACTCCTTCCGTCGCTTAATTACATTCTTACTCTGTAATTTAGGGACGGAGGAAGTAAAAATTCATCTGATTTATTTTGATTAATATTTGTAATTTATACATAAAAAAATATAGATTTTTAGAAATTTATTGGAATCGTCTCAAATATCTAGCTATCAACATGTAACAGTGTAACTACAGTGGCATAAATTAGGCTAGTTTGTCATGAAATTCCTTTTAGTATTTCCGTTTCATATTAATCGCATTGCTAGATCAAAATCTTAGGAAAAAAAGTATTAAGTGTGGACCAAAAGAGGAGTTTGCTAATTTAAAATATAATTAATGGAGATATATTTAACTTTTAGGTCATGTGTCCTTTCACCTTATTTTTTTTACTAATAATTAAACTGAAATTATTTTAATTGATTTATTATCATTCTTCATTAAAGTTATTGATTTCTACTAAATTGAAATTATTTTTACATATACAATATTATTTTTCTATGATGGAAAAATAGGGTCTTAGACCTTGTTTAGTTCAACTTAGGCCTTGTTTAGTTCACCTGATTTTAGCTGGTCTGGTCTGGTCTGATCTGCTCTGATCTGATCTTATCTTATCTTATCTTATCTGAACTTATATTTTCTGATCTGAACTTATTTTTTCAGATCTGATCTGAACTAAACTTATTTTTTCTAATCTGATCTGAACTTATCTTTTCTAATCTGATCTGATCTGAACTTATTTTTTCTGATCTGAACTTATTTTAATTATTTCAATATTATACTTTTATTTTAATCAATATTAATGTTTTTTTTAAACATATTAATGTTTTATTATTATTATTATTATTATTATTATTTATTATTATTATTATTATTAGGAAAATTATTATTATTATTATAAAATATTTTAGATCCCTTACAAATATTTTAAAAGAAACCTAAAAGTATTAATATTATCAGATAGTATAAGGTAATATACTTGTAATATTTGATAATTTTATTATTTACATTATCCAACATCATAAATGAATTTGTTTATAAGAAAGTATTAAAATGGGATCCTAAAAAACCTAAATTGCAGATTAAATTTGTCATAGCTTTATAGGGAATTTTACAGATTTTTTGGTAATGTAAAATGGTTGACTAAATTGAATTGAAAATTATCATTTCATATTTCAATATTCCGGACAACTATGGGTAACACCTCTATTTTCCTATATAAAACAACATCTTAGTGTCATAATTTTCACACTCTAAATCAATCTCCTAAAATATTTTTCTATTCATTTGTTCAATAGGTTGTTTGTCTTTTATCTCCATCATAGGTAAATACTTCAACACTCTATGTCATTAATTTTATCATTTGTCCATTGTTTTTTAGATAATGTAGGAAAATATACATTTATTTGTTTCATGAATTTTACATTTGACCTAAGTAATATCGATGAAAATGTAAAGCACAATTAATATTTTATTTTCAGTTCATTCATTTCAAAAGAATCCTTTTGATTATAATCCTGGTGCCGATTCAACATTAATGTCTATAATTTATGCATGAAATATTGATTCCAAAGTGCTCTTTATCATAGTGTAATGGCTGGTTGGGTAGCATGGTTTGAAGAATGTACGGAGATATTGTTAAACATATGCTTAGAGATGAAAGAATTTAGATATTTAAAGCTTAATTGGGATAGAATAGTGAGTACTTTGATCGTAAAATGTGGAAATCAATTCAATATCAAACTAGTAACAAATCATTGGAATGATTTGAGATGTTTTGGACAATTCAAATCTCAATGGAAAATACTCACAATGATGTCAAATATGGACACCAAACATCAATTGGCGATTATGGTTGCTGCATTCACACTTCACAATTTTATTCGATTACATGAGTTGGATATACCCATTGATAGTGGTATAGAAATCGAACCAAGAGCAGATTATGATTTGTTTAACGAGAATCGTAAGGCCTAATGAACGAAGTACAACTTAATATAGCGAATGAAATTTGGAACTTCTTATGATGGAAATTATATTTGTAAACATTTATGATTTGGAGCTTATAATGAAAATTTAATTATTATCGTTTATTGTTTGAATAATAATAATAATAATAATAATAATAATAATAATAATAATAATAATAATAATAATAATAATAATAATAATAATAATTGATTAGGGGATTTTGCTCCCACCAATCGGAATGCGCCACGTGGACCAATCAGGTCCTGCCAAGTGTCCCCCAGTTGGAACAGTCAGGGCTTCCCACATGGCACGCGCTTATTCGTCCACCTTAGACCTGTTATGTCAAGCCATGTGGCATACTCCATGCCTAATGGAGAAACCGGCCACCCAGGCCCAACTTCCGAGGGAAGCCCAATCGGCCCTAGGGTTACCTAAACCTACGATGGGCACGTTTCCCAAGGTTATAAATACCTCCCTTAATCCTCATTAAGGAGATTACAGAAGGAGAACAGAAACATTACGGAAAAAATACATTAATTACACACAGTAATAACCGGCTGATCTCGCTAACAAAGCAGATTACCTACATTAAACACTCTCACCTAGAGAGACCAAATCACTTTAATTTCCGCATTAATTACTCCTTAATCAGGTACTAACTTGACCGTTGGAGGCGGAGCTCACAGGAGTCTCCGTTATTTTGCAGGTACAGGCGTCCGGTTCCAGTCTCGGAATTGTAACTCTCCCGCAGGACATCAGAAAACCCCGAAACAATAATAATAATAATAATAATAATAATAATAATAGTAATAATAATAGTAATAATAATAATAATAGTAATAATAATAATAGTAATAATAATATGTAATAATAATAATAATAATAATAATAATAATAATAATAATTTGTATTTAATTTGAACTTATCTGATTTGAACTTATTTTTTCTGATCTGATCTGATCTGATCTGATCTGAACTTATTTTTCCTGATCTGATATGATCTGAACTTATTTTTTCTGATCTGATCTGATCTGAACTTATTTTTTCTGAAATAAGTAAAAATAAGGTGAACAAAACAAGGCCTTATTTGTACTTATTTCATAAAAAATAAGTTCAGATCATATCAGATAAGAATAAGTTCAGATCATATCAGATAAGAATAAGTTCATATCAAATCATCATTTATGTGCAGCTTTTTTTATTGCTAAAAATCTATAATTTCGTAATGAAATAAATAATGAAAATTACATATCAATAAATCACACAATTACGAATCTAACAAGACCCTACTTAATATAATTTTCCTTATAGATTATCAAACATTTAAGGTCAAAGTTTAGTTAAATTAGATAATCAGATCATATCATATCAGACCAAGTCAGATAAGTTCTGATTAGCAAAATTAAGTTGAACTAAACAACCCTAGTTATTCTTTGAGTATTTTACCTTGTAGTTTGTACGTACATAATTTTTTTTTTTATTATTTTTTTTACATATTAAATTGCAGTTGGTAATTGGCTTAGATGGTAAAATAATCATTTTTGTTAATAACCTCCTTATCCTTATGTTTTTATATGGAGTAATGGCACATTGGAACTGGAAGGGAAGCTTTTACCGACTTGAGCTATATACAATTCATTTTTGTATATTTAAATATTATAACATGACTATAATATTTACTAATGTATACAAAAAAAAAATATTACTTATCAAGAGTTAGATTAATTGATTAAGTATGATTGGGAAATCACAAATCACAAACTGGTCATTACTATCCGAAAAGCTAATTGTATGGCGGATTGGCTAGCAAACTTTGGTGTGACCTTTAATTAGAAGTTAGTCATTTTTGAGGCGGTCTCGGAAGAGACTTAAGAGTAATTTTTGTTAATTACAAATAAAGAAAGTTAGATAAAACTCAGATGGTTAGAAATTCCCTTCACTTACATTATCAAAATACAAAGTCCAAAACAGAGAAAGTACTCCTATTTGTTATGCCGTTAAAGAACGATTCTCTAATTGCGAATCTCCAAAAGAAAATTCAAGATATAGAAATTTAAAAAAAAAAAAACAAGAGGGTTACAAGCACAAGACAGTAACTCCAAATATTGCTGTCAAAATATTCATCTCCACCAGATAAATGCACACACAACACGAGAGACCCCACCTTCTGATTTTCTGATCCAACCCACCCACCTAATATTATACGGGGTCAAATACTGTAATTAATCCAATTTTATCATTCAAGTACTCCATAAGTTAAACATGTTAATACTGTATTTTTATGGGTTAGACTTTATTTAATTTTTAATACATTTCACCATAACCAATTAACCATCACAAACAATACCCTTGTCTTGAGCATCATGAGACAAGAAACTGACACTTTAGAGGAGGAGTGCTGGAATATTATTTGGAATTCTCCAGTTCAACAGCGCATCAGAGCTTTTCTGTGGTTATCATGCCATGACCGTTTGCTAGGAAACCTAAACAGGTATAAACGCAAGCTCACGGACAACCCCAAGTGCTATAAATGTGGTGCAAGTGAGGAAAGCACTTTACATATCCTAAGAGATTGCTCGGCTGCAAAAGTAGTCTGGCGCAAAATCCTTTCCCAACCTGTTTTTGATATGTTCTTCCAAGGCTCATTGAAGGAGTGGATAATGAGACATAGCAAGAATATGGATCATTTAGACACAGAAAGTTGGGCTACATATTTTGGGATAGCAACTTAGTGGATATGGAGGTGGAGGAATTGTTTTGTTTTTAATCGACAAGATGAAATCCCAATTGACATAGGGTCTTTCCTGCACATTCGTTATGATGAAGCTAGGAGAAGCATACTGGGCAACATTGATGAAGACAGGAACATTAGTCGAAGACAATACAGGCTGGTATGTTTTGAACTGCGATGGTGCGGCAAAGGGGAGCCCAGGAGCAGCAGGTGGAGGGGCTATAATCTGTGATCACTTAGGGGGTTTTGTTTCAGCTATTTCTGCCAATTTTGGCATATGTAGTGCCTTTAGAGCTGAGGTTTTAGCACTA